CGACGCTGCTACAATGTTACAGACTAGTTCCTGTGCTGTGCCTTTTATCCCTGTAGCTTATTCGTTCCCTACCTGGAAACTGTACCTCCCCCTCTCCTTCACCCGTCTGGTCATCCCTCCCACCTCCCCCCAGAGATTTGTTTTCTTGATGGCTGCCTTTTTCTACCCACCAGACCCTGAGCAGGGACGTGGCTCCTCACAGCCACATCCTAAACCTACCAGAACAGTCAGCTTTCATTAGAAGTGTGTTGAGTGCACTCACAATTAATCTGATTTACATTTTAAATAGATCAACTCTGGGGACAACAGATTTAGGGGAGTCAAGAATCAAAATGAATAAACCCATGAGGGGACTTTCACAGAGGCCCAGAGGAAAGACAAATGTGGGAGAAGTATGAGGGTGAGAACTAGCACCATGGTGGTTACAAAACCGTGTCATGAATGGCCCCTGGTGTTAGAAAATTCGCATCGCACAACTGTCCCCAACGTAATGATGGGACAACTGTTTTCTTCAGGTGGGGCCATGAACTCATAAAAAATAGGTATTTTTAAAAGCTGCTGAATTGAGCAACTATTCTTCTGTACTCCTATGTTCTCAAGCTCAAGTTGATAAACTGATATAATTTGACAAAATCTATTAACACTAAAACAATGCACATGCCCCTTGACCTAAAAATTTTCATTGCTAGGAATTTATCATCTGTATATACTCACAAAAGTATGTCAAAATATACTGCAGGGATATTCACCTTGTCATTGCTTATGATATCCCCAAACTGGAAACAACATGAACATCTGTCAACAGGAAGCTGCTTAGAAAAACTTAAGAAAAAAATTTTACACAGCTATTAAATAAAATGAGGAAAGAGCTCTAAGGTACATTGTATGCACTTGAAACTCATGTAACATTGTGTGTCAACTATAGTTCAATTTAAAAAAAGAAATATTGTGTATTTAGAAATATCCTATTTGCGGTAAAACAGACACACACAACATTGGTATTGATATGATATGTGATGTACAGAGGAAAAAAGGGAGAGAGAAATATTGATGTAAACAGAAAAGTTTTCTTTTCTGAAGGCTATATAACACAAAGAATGGTTATCCTTTGAAGAGAGAAGGAAACTGGGAGTGGTAGAGAATCTTACTTTCGCACATACCTTTATGAATTATTTGATTTTTTTGAATGGTGAACGTGTATTTTAATTTTTAAAACACACAAACATCATCTCTTTGAGACAAACTAACAGAATAAATAAGAATGTACCCGATATGTCATTACTTGCTTTCTGATTTTATGGACAGTAGCTCCAATGACTCATTTATATACACTCCATGAACGAACACACATACACGACATGCACGCATGCAGATGAAAATATATCTGAACGCTGTTAAATGCAGTGGGACAAATGCCTTTGGTTAGAACACACCAGATACACAGCCCATATCCCGAAGTGACCGCCTTCCAGGGTAACGCCAATCGATGCGCAATTTGTGATTAAACAATCTGAAAGCAGTTTTCGACAATGCTTGCTATCCTGATTGCCGGCGCTTCAATGACCACGTTTTTGTCCTCGAAAAGAGACACGAACTGGTCCATTGCTTAAGGAAGCCTCTTTTTAGCCTCCTTCAGCTGTGTTGCCATTTTATGTGAAATGATGTTTCCTTCCATTCCTACAGTGCAATCCATTCCCTCAACAAAGCTCTCTGTTGGCTCCTATGGAAAAGGTACCACTCAAAAGAAGATGGATACCGCTTTCTTTTCTATGACATAATTTATTTTATTTATTTTACTTATGCTACAGGGGCTTACATGGTAAAACAAAATCTATGTAGGGAAAGGGAAATACAACCTCATATATTCTTAAGAAAGTAGTCTATGTTGCAGGTTTTGTAAAAAAAAAAAAAAAAAAAAAACCCAAAACCAAAAACAACAACAACAACAAACTACATTATATTCAAATAGCTCTTTCAGTGGCAGTTAATTATCTTGCCTTGACTTCAATCACCTACCTAGTCTGCACAAGGACTCAATCTCTCTCATTATTACCAGAAGAGGGGCGGGCTATGTTTGCAGAGTTCACTGTATCTGCTCTAAACGATTTCTAACCTCAGGAATGTAAAATGTTCACCACATCCACTTTTTCTTTTCAGTTGTAAATGTATTTCTAAAGTAAATATTCTAATTACCATTTACTGGAAAGTCACAGAATAGTTGGGTATTTTGCAAGTCAATTCAGGAGAAAAATAGAAAAACTGGTTAAGTCCAATTTCGGTGAGGTTAAACAGCAGGCCTAAGCACACAGACAGAGCCACTCACCAAGCACCCCCTGGGTCCCACATTGTCATGTTAACGACAGCAAACAAAAGACCTGAGGGCAGAAGAAGGAAAATTACCAGTCCGCACTAAAACCAGGACAGTAGTTCTCCTTTATCTCTTTTTAAAGACCCACCTGCAGGGACACATACCAAGTTCTAAAGTATTAGGTCACTCCAGGTCATTTGCATTTTTCTACCCAATGACGAGGAGAAACAGCAAACCTTTATTACTGAAAAGCACCATGCTGAAACAAAATCACATTAAACCACCCAGAAATGCGAAAGCTGTGATGCCCCGACGGGCACAGATCTTGAATTGCTGAATGATTTCTGACCAGGGAGGGTGGGGGAAGGTGAGCGAGCCCGGAGGAGACATTCCCCAGAAACAAAACCTGAGGCTGGGGGCTGGGATACTGTAAGGCAGGACCCCGCAGATGGAGCGGAGAGGAGGAACTCTGCTGAGTGAGGTCTAGACTCAGTCTTAGCCAATGTAGCCGATGACACCCGTGACCTGTGGGAAGGAGGAGACTGCCAACTCACTCTCCTGCACAGAAATCAAGTTTCCAGAAGCTCAAAGTGTTAGTGACTTCACTTGGTAATTACCAATACCCCCAAAGCGGCGCTTTGTAAGGCGGCACCAAGCCCTGTGGAATGCCTCTGAACTAGATTAAACCACCAGGCTAGTAATTAAACCAACTTTATATGGGTCTCTTGCTCAAACTTGAGCAGTCCTGCTCATTTCAGGACAACGACTGTAGCACAAAAGTGGAAACAAGCCACTTCTGAGCCTCGGTGTCAGCATAGACACCATCCTCAGCAGCCTCTGCTCTCCGAACTGCGAAATCGGGAGCCCAGCTTCTTGCCAGGGGTGGGACAGGGGATTTCGGTTTTACAATGCGGCAAAGATGCAAAGGGCTCTCAGCCTTGTATCATTTGCAGGTAGTTGAACAGTCTCCGTTTCTGTGTCAGCAAACAAGTTTTTACCATTTTATCTTTCGAGACATTTCGATAGCAATCACTGCTATAGCAGCGAAGTGCTTTCGCACCAGACAGCCCGCTGAAAGACTGCCTGGCATCTTGTCAGAATGACATGCTGCCACATCGTGTCACAGTCTGCAAAGAGCCTAAAAATTTAGAAGAGAAGATGATTTCTCCTCAGATTTATCAATGCTATGCTTTGTGACAATACGGGCTACTTCCTGGGCAGCTGGATAATAACTTGGTAGACGAAACAGCTTTAACAGTGTTTTCCACGGTGCAATCACACACCGAGCATTTGAAGTGCTACTTAAAGAACCAGCAGATTTATTCCTAAACATCACATATGTCTACACATAAGGAAAGATTTTTCCTAACCCCAGAAAAGAAGGGGTCGCATGATATTCCATTCTAACTAAGTCTCAGATCATGGGGTACTTTTCCAACCACTTCACCTTGACATGTAGAGTAGCACTCGGGGAAGGGCAGATTTGCTTGAAACAACGTCAACTGTTACCAACATTGGATGCCTGCCAAGATCACCTGCAAACCTTGAGTTTTAAAAAAAAAGGGTGAAAAAGTCTTCCCAGGGGTAGGATCTCACAAATGCTGTGTTGGATGTCAAAACCCGGCACTGAAAGTTCACGCTCAGAAGCACTATCGGTTGTTACAATATGGGACCAGGTATGTCCACTCAGGGTGAACTGGGAATAGGAAAAATGAAACAACTGCCCTAATGTGATCTGTCTGTGGGATAACGTTTCCAGGGACAACACTGCACACGGAGTCCAAAAGTGCTTCACCTTGCCAATGTGGGATACAAATGAACACAATGTACTCCGCAAGACCATGTGAATGGCTGATTCAGAAAGTGGTGATCAAAACACTGATTCAAAATTCTTACGAAGAGTTTGAGCAGAATACTTCTTGACATGTACGTACAGAAAAGAGTAATACCAATTTTATAAGACAGGATTTTGTATATTTATGGGGAAATAAATGAAAACTATTTTACATAAACATCTGACTTGAGTTTTACTTATTCCTAAAGGTTTCCTTAAGTCAAGTTGGCCATGAAAAAGATTTTTTGAACCTTCTTATTGAAAAATGGTAAACACCTTATGTCTGATAAAGCCTTATAGCTGGGCATATATGGAGCTAATTCTAATACATTCCAATTCAACTTTTTGGTAGAGGAATGTGACTAACAAATTTCAAGAATTTTCTGAAAGCCTGGTTTTGCAATTATTCTGAAAAACTGTTTTCTAAATGAGAAATACATATGGTTAAGGCCGGAACGTACAGGATCAGAAAATAAATTCCCCATCTGGTCTGGGCTTTTCCTTGAACTGAGCGCTCAGCCTATCTTCCGAGAAATGGTACCCTGTGATCCTTGCATCTGTCCTTCATAGAGGGCAGTGCTGATAATTGGGTTTTTGTACTAACAACAAATCCAAATAAAGTTCCAGCCATTGTTGCTGCAAGGAGCAATGCAGTTGGGCAACACTAACATCACAGTCATCCATGATTAGTGTATTCTGAGGGCGCTCTATGTGCCCCACAAGCAGAACATCTTCTCCAGGTCCCAAAATGTGAGGAATCGATTTCATGCTGAGGAAAAGTTTATTTACATAGTTCACCCCATTTGCTAATTTATGAGATGAACACGCAACCTAATAATTGACTGAAAGGAAAGTTACCTTGTAGATCCCAAAGAACCCCAGGTCCCTTACGACAGACAGGGCACTGACTCGGGGACCAGTGGTGATCTCTCCAGCCACTTGCAAACGGATCTTGACGATTTCCAAAGGATTCGTGAAAATCACCTGGGAGCCTCCTGCCTAAAACAGAGAAAAAGTAAAGATTTAGGACCAAAGAAGGGTAAGGGTAAGATGGGTTAGGAAGAGGGGAGGGATTATCCTCCACGGAGCACAGAATATTCTATCTTCAAGAGACTGTAGTTTCGATCCTGGTTCCATCAATTAAGACAGTGATGAGTTTGAATCAAAATACAGTTACTGCCAAGGCTTTGGGTACTGAGGTCCTATTTCCCTCACACAGAGGTTGAAAGAGGGAAAAGGGCAGAGACACATGATGTCTCCTGGACTCACCAAAGTCCTCACGTGGAAATGACAAAGATTCCCTGAAGCACAAATAGCGGCCATCACAGGGCTCAAAGCCAAGGGCACAAAGGCAACAATAAAATGAAAATCAAATAGTATCCAAATAAAGAGACACTGACCTGCTTGTCAGAATAGGAGGAGACAGGGAGGACATAGGTTCTCCCATGATGGGCCTCATGATTCTGGCAATGATTCAAGAATTGCCAGAGAACATGTAAACTTAGATGAAAGCTATTTTTTCTTCTCTTAAAAAATCAGGTCCATCATCAAACACCATTTTATGGAGTCACATATTCTTGTAACTTTATTTATGTATTACCTGTGTATAGATTGCTCTTTTCATATAAGATAAATGTCCACGTAGTAAAAATATGCATTAAGTCAATTATGGCCCAAACTTTGAGCAAAGTGTGTTATTTCATTCCAGCAGTGGCTGGGTGCCCCACCTCCGAGATCATCAGTGGAAATCTTTAAAGTGTACAATAAGGGGAATTTTAAGCTAGTTATTTTGAAGCTAAGCCTATATTTATTATAAGCAATTACATTCTTTCCCACTGTACTTCGACTTGTTATTCCTTGTCACAAATACATTAAATTTTTATTTCACCCACACTAAGGTTGACGCAGAGTATAGTTCAGAATCTTTATTACATAGTGATGTTACCACACTAGACCACAGACATGGTGCTGATATTTTATAGCTCAGTTGGTGCCATCATGGTAACAAGCATAATTTGGACTAATATTATACATAACTACTTCTTGCTAGATTCTCTGACACCATTAACCAATGTATGTGCCCTCACAAAAGGGCCAGTACTGATCAACACTGGCTACAAAGATGACCTTGGAAGTATAATTTATAAATAATGCTTGGAAATAAAAATTAGGCACAACGTAAATATCCAATGGTCAGGGATGGATTAAATGAATTTAAGTATGTCATGCAATGAGACACTATGCTGCCAATAAAAAATACTGTGGGAAATGTTCAATATATATACTGGGAAGTAAAAACCCTCATGCTTAAATGCATGTATCACTTTCCCCATATCCCTTACTATCGTGTAGAGAATACGCCAGTATAGTGCTTTTGAGATGGTAGATTACCAGTGGTTTATTTTCTTTTCTGCTGTATTTGTATTTCTTCTACCTAGATCATCTATAAAGATGTTTGTCTTCTATAAAGAAAAACAAATACCTCTACATGACTTATCTGATATACACAGCCATATTAGCCAAAAAAAGCAAAGAAATCTGTTCACCCATTAATTCTCTATAAATCAAATTGCTTTTCCACCTTTACCAACTTGGTATCTTAACCAAGACACACCAAGCTTTCCCCTCTCTCCACACATTACAACTGTCCTGAAGGCAGGAGTGTTGTCCGGTGTCTCGGCTGCCACACGGGCCACCCCTCCTCACTTACTTGCTTCACCCATCACCTTCTGCTCACCTCCTCTTAGGAGGCGGGCCAAACAATCTTGGTAGGAGAAGACTGAGGATGGATTCACCAAAAGGCCCCAGAAAGGCCCTGGGAAAGTGGAAAGGAGAGCGTGGGCGACAAGCCCAGAGGCCGGTGTGTTCCTCTGGTCCACACACATAGCTGGCTCCCTCTTCTCTTTGGCTCAGAAGACCCACGCTTTGCTCCCACACTGCTGTGACCTGAAGGGAGGTGGGAGGACCAACCCACAGCCTGTCCATAGCCCTTCAGGATTTTGTGGGCTCGCACCTGCATCGTTCCACGTGACACAGAGGGAGTTAAGGTTGGCAGAAGGAGAGAGGCAATGGACCTGGCTGAGTAACAGCACCAATGAGGACTATGGTTGTGCTTCTTGACCCAAGCTCTTGAGTTGCAAAAATGAATAGAAATTTATTTTAAAATCACGTATGGGGGCAGCACTGCTGAGGAAGATTTGAGGAGTTGGAATTAGTCTGAGGCTGATTTTTAAAAGCTCAGAAGTGGGCGAGAGCATCTCTATCAAGGGCAGACTGGAAAGTGGTCTGCGTACATTGATCTTGAAGAGCAGCAAAGGAACACAAAGCAGACTCACCATGCACTGCCAGCAATGGGTGGGGAGGCAGCTGAGCACCCCATGTGCAGACCGAGCCCCAGTCCCTTTGTGTCAAACCACCTGACTTCATACGAGGCTCCAGGAGATGGCAACCGGACCTCAGCAGTGACTCCAAACAGGATTCTTTTCCAGTCTCCTGAAGCGATGGTTCTCCTCCCTGGCTGCACGTTACAGTCCCTTGCAGAGCTTTGAAAAGTAGTGACTTCTAAATTCTACTCCAGGCAAGTAAGAAATTCTGCAACCACCCTTTCAAAAACGGTTCCCACGTGATTAAGATGTGCAGTGAGAGCTGAGGGTCGCCTGACTTCACTGCATCGCTGCCACGATCCCTTTGAATTCTGAGAGGCTGCTTGACAGGCTTCCTTACAGCTGGGATTTCTAATTCCAGTTTTCCACTTTCTTTCAGAGAGCAATTTTTATGTTTTACATGTAATCTCACAACAAACTTTTTACACAGATCCAGGTGGTGCCATTGGTAAAGGGACAGTTCTTAGGTACAGAATTGCTCTTACTCCTCCTCTTGCATCTGCACTAACACTCATCAAAGTTCATGTTATATACCAAATAAGAACTTAACACTCAATGCTCTGACTCCAAGCCAATTGATAGATACCGATTCTTTTAGCACTGCAGAGTGAATTCTAATCCCTAAGGACAATGCAAAAGTCAAATCCACTTCAGACAGCTGCAGGGAACAGACACAGTGGGAAGAGAGGGTAAGGATACTGAGACAAAATGATGGGCTCCTTGCCTCGGGTGGGCTCAGAAAGAAAGAGCTGACAGACTCAAAGTGGCACATTGTCGAGGTTCTGAAGATGAATCAGTCCTTTGGAGTCAAGCTAGGAGGAAATGAGAGACTCTGAGGCACCGAGAGACGATGCTTATCATCAGATGCACAGTGTCTGGGCATCGCCACGACTTGATCACTGAACGGCACACTGGCCGCAGCGCTCCCGGCTCCCAGCCTATTGTCCATTCACAGCGCCTTACCCCTGTCTCTCCCCCAGGAGATCAAAGACAGCGGGCTCCACGGGCCCGCCAACAGGAACACCTATTGTGTATGATGGCTTTGTGTCCCTCATCACTTAGGGACCTGGCTGTGTGAAGACGCTGTTGTGTGTGCATGTGGAATTTGGTCACAAATCATTTCCCTGGGACCTTCTGGAGTCTGTAGCAAGTAGGACAGGCAAAGATTTTTTACACTAGGACTGGCTCTGTGTGGGGCATCATCTTTACAGTGAGCACACTGACTTGTCTATAGCTTTCCTGGTATGTTCCTTCTTGCCGAAATCATAGTTGCTACCCAGCATCTGGATCCATCTAAAGACAAACACATGTACTTAGAGCAGACTCCACTTCTGCTACCTGATCATTCAGTCATTGACATAAAAATTCACCACATATTTAGAAGTAATCGAGCTCAAATTTGTCCTAAGAACTCCAAGGACACGAGGTGAGTGAGAAAGCATTCCTGTTCTCAAGGAGCTTGAAATAGGAGTGAAGTAATAAATGCTCATGAAGCACCCATCACTGGCTACTGGGGTACTGCTTTGCATGGATTACCTATCTTTAGCCCTCTCAGAGGTATTTTTTCCAGATTTTACAGAAGAGAAAATTGAGGCATAAAACATTAAAGAAACGGTTATGGGCTGAAGTGTGTCCAACAAAATTCATACACTGAAGTAAGTCCTAACCCTCAGCGCCTCAGAGGGTGACTGTATTTAGGGACAGGGCCCTTACAAAGGTGGTTAAAGGAGGAAGAGGTCGTATGGGTGGGCCCTACTCCAACGTAACTGCTGTCCTACTGAGATATGGACACAAACGTGCACACAGAAAAGACCACGTGAGTGCACAGTGAGAAGGCAGCCACCATCAAGCCAAGGAGAGAGGCCTCAGAAGAAACCAACCCTGCCAACACCAGCTTGGACTTCCAGCCTCCAGGGATGTGAGAAAATAAATTCATGTTGTTTAAGTCACCCAGTCTGTGGTGTTCTGTTAGGGCAGCACTAGCAAGCTAATACAGCACTTACACAGGGCTACACAGACAGCAAGCAAAGGATTTTCGACGAGGCCCAATAAATATATGCCTTATGAATAGGAAAAAATGGCACATGGGAAAGAGCAATTAGAATATACACGAGGTAAGGTCCAGACAAATTGCCATGGCAATTCGAACGAGAGCAAGACTTCTGCTGGCTGGGATAATGTGGGGAAGTGGGAAGGCATATAAGAAAATAACACATCAGCCAGTGACTGCGTGCAATTAGGGTTTAGCTAATCCAGGCAGAGAATGGCACGAAGGCACAGTGACGGGGGCCTGCCACACTTACAGGGTAAAGAGACCCAGCACCACATCTGTCCAGTAAAATTTTAGTAAGAATGATCATTATGATGAGATCAACATCATCATCCACTGGCATTTATTTGGATGCTAACTATGTACCAGGCATTATGCTAAGAGCTTTGTAAGAATTTTCCCTTTTGGTCCTCATCATATAAGGTGGGTAATATTCTTCCAGTTTTATAAGTGAGCAAAAGCGAGCCCGAATGGGTGAAGGAGCTCATGTAACCTGCCCAAGATCACAAAGCTGGGAAGGGGGACCCTGGACGGAGAGCCGACCTGCCGGAGGCCAGCCACGCCCT